AAAATGTTTCTACACACTGCCTACTTGTCTGGGGAAAGTAGTAGTTCAGACATTTGTCACTAAAAGTCAGGTATATGGAAAATATTTTTAAATATCAGGATGTGTGTAGGACGTAATGCAAAACAAGTAGTTTACAGTCAACATTTGGTTACTTTTTCAGAATGTGCAGTTAAAGCCTTTACACTTTGCTTATTTGTGAGCTCAAGCTGGAAGTTATAAATTGCGCATTGAAGTCCAACTATGTGACTGATAACCAAATACAAGTATTTTACATAGCACAAGATAAATGCATGTTTATTAGAATCTTTAACAGTTAGATGCTTAATGTTTTGGATTTTGTATGGCCAAGAGGTCGTTTTCGCTATAGAAAGCTGTAGTCTTAAAGGAATATAAACTGTAGATCAGGCAGATTAAATCAGTTGAGTGAATCATCTTCTTTGATAACAGGTGTACTATAAGTTAGGGAATCCCTCTTATGTGTGCTGTTAATGTTTTAGAGTGTGAAAAGAAAGAATCAATTTAGCTTTGGCTGAAAGCCAGCCAATCTCACATACTTAAGATCTGAAACTGTTTGAAAGTGTGTTCATTTCTGGAAGAGCCCCGAACACCCTCAGTGATTAATTCATCTCATTAGTTTGCTGTGAATTCTCCTGACCCTGTATGATGTTTCGATCACCCACTTAGAGTTTATGCATATTCATATCTTCCTGTGTCTGCCGCAGTCGTTTAAGTCTCCTTCACTGACTGTGCTGCGTGCTTGGTGCAGTAATTGAGCTGCAGTAGATTGATTACTCTGGGGAGCTGTAAGGCCTTTATAGGTGAAAACATATCAGTCCTGTTAATTAGGAAACAAAGCTCTGGTGGCAAGTTCAGCAGTTAAATGCTTCCAGGGTAAGACTGAAAAGAAGCCCCATTTATTTCTCTTGATGAACTGTGCTATTTTCTTTCTATCGCAGTGCATACCAATAAAGCATAGGAGGTCAGGAGAGGAAGGTGTAACTAGTCTTTGTACATGAACCCAGGAAAATCCATATTTGTTGCTGTCATTCAGCTGAGCTTTTCTGTTTGTTCTTTTTAAATGGTATCTAATTGACACTAGGTGCAGTGGTTCGGGGAATCTGCTTTACTGCACGGTTTAATTTACACTTTACATGTTCTAGTCGAGTTGCTTTTATTACACAGTGAAGTCGGTTCCTGTTTTGTAATTACTTCTGGTGGCACAACATGCACTTGCAGCAGTTCAGTAGGAAGCAGACGTGACTAAGAGTAAGCCATGATGTTGCATTTATCCATCCTGAACTTTCTTCTTATAGCCACAGTTATTTAGGTCAGTAGCATAATCTTTTTAAGAGCTATTTGTGACGCCTGAGTCATTTCTGCCTTCTGTTTGTTTGGTTATATGTTCTAATCACGTTTCTTCCCTTATGTTTTAGGCATTTATTAACACAGCCAAGGAGATTTATGAGAAGATTCAAGAAGGTGTCTTCGATATTAATAATGAGGTATGTTTCATACAAATGAGTGCTGTAATTCTGTTCATGTATGGCAAATTCCTTAACCCAAGTGGCTTTATTTTTCAGTAATTCCTCTTAATCAGATGTACAGCAGTAATGTTAGCACGTTGCTTTTTTAAATAACCAGTTGCCTTAATTTTACTAGATAAGACATATGTTCTGTCTAATTTTCTAAGTTTAATGTTTAGTCTAATTTTAAGTCAGCCTTATCGTTGTTCATTAATTTTCCAGGAGTCATTATTTTATTTCACCAACATTAACATTTTCTTCTTCATTAGGTCTATGGGAAATAATTTCACAGTCATTCTGTTTTTTGTATTTTGGGAAAGTCCAATTTACATATTGATAATTTTTCCTAGAGTTTGTTTGCTCATTGTTTGTCCAATCACTTTATATTTTAACAAGCAGTGGTTATCGCCACTGAAAAAGCGAAAGCATGGACGCCGAGACCATGTCTGGCTAAGTCGTTTGCACACCCTTTGTGTGAAGAGACAGTGCCTGCTCCTTTTCTTACTCTTAGAAGACTTTGAAAAATAGTTCTCATTTGCCACTTGTCCTAATGATTTCTAAGTTAACGATTTGCAGCTACTGATTGAGAATTTCGAGGAACGGGAACAGCAGCATTTAATTATAATTTCATTGTCGTGAACAAGCTTGTCTACTGTGTAAAGAAAAGTTGCTCCTCCGAACAAAAAAAAAAAACCTTTGTCACTACCATTTTAGCACATCTGTTTTTTCACTACCATATGACTGCTTTGGAAAACAATATCCTTCCGTTTTCCCAACTTTCCAGGACTTCTTTGTGTCATATCTGACATTTGAGTGTGAGGTTTGATGAGCATCAAAACCAACAAGATAGTCCTCAAGCCAACAATGTTGCTTTTATTAGGAATAGTAGATCAAGTAGGGAGCTGTGTCATCATGCATGGGCTGCAAAGGAACAACTAAAGGTTTATTCCATGCAGAAAAGAAAAGACAAACAGTTTTAGCTGTGTAGCCTTCTTTGGGTTCTCACCTTGATATAATAAACTTTTACTTGTTCCTTTATTAGGTTTACTCATAATTAAGTTTTTTTTTATACTACGTGATGAAGCATAAGTTGGATGATACTATGGGATCATATTTATCTGGCATATTTCTGGTGAATTCCTTTCTGCATTTTAAAGTGCAGTTCAAAGTGTTAGTGAACTTTACAAATGTATTGATCTCATTATTTTGCCTCTCTGTATCTGAAAAATGCACAGCTCGGGGATGGATGTGATATGTAATAAATCACATTCTGTCTTCTGAACACATGATATTCACACACATTTGGAGAGGATTTCATTCGCAGATGTGTTAATTGTTCAGAATTGATCTGCAAAGGTAACAAACAACAAGGTGTATGGGACAAAATTTGGAGACAGAGGAGCAGTGATTTTCTTTTTGGTATGGTAAGCATATCAGTCATACTGGGGGAAGGAGGTACACTGAAGTGCTAATATTATAAAATATGAACCAAAACATCTGAAGTCTGTCTGCCCTGGATATTTGAGCACATACAATTTGGAAGTACGATTCATTTTTAAAAATCTCAAGATCAAGGGCTGGTGTGAAGGGTTTGATCTGAGCTGATTCTTTTTAGGTGAAAAAGTGAAAGTGACTCTTTCAGATAAGCGTGCGGTGTGTTAAAGAGTATCTCACTTCACATAACTGTGTAAAAAGCCACCAGTCTACCTTCACCTGGCAAGTAGCCAAGTCACTGCTTCCTGCTCCCTCTGGAGGTTACTGCTAACTTGGGGAGGTGAGACCTATTTAGCTATTGGGCATGCTTTTTATTAGGAAGAAATGTCAAGGCACAGAGTCAAAACCACATCAGCTGATGTCAACGTAGAGGTAATGCCAGAAACCCCAAGGCTACTGCTGTAGTAGAAGCCCTGCCAGACATTATAAATATGAGATTTACTGTGACGCAAAGTTTCCTTAAGAGCTTAATTTCAGTAACTACCGTGTTCCTTCTGGTGAGCTGCTGTATTTTAACCGGAATCCACTTGAGGGAGTCTGTGTTAGGACAGACGTGCATGCTTGAGAAATGAAAGAGCTGCTCGTGGTGTGTGTGTGGGTTCTTGGCCAGCTGCCATGTCTTTGGGGATTTCTGAAATTATTGATGACATGGAACACTCTTGTGCCCTTCCCCTGTATATCTTCTCCCAAAAAACAAAATGTATTAGTGCCTGTGAAGACTGGGCATAACCCTCAGATTTTATTTTAGTTTGCATCTATTATCATAAATAAATCTGCCATTATACACTCCATTATTTTTTATTTTTTTTAGCTCAGTAATTGGTTTTTAATCTGTCTCCAGTTGGTAACTGCAACAGATTTTATTTTATGAATCCATCTATCTTTACTTTGTGTATAGTACGCATCATAGCCATGTGATGTTTGATGTTTGACACCCACGTAAATATAAATAAATCATTGTTTTAATTAGTGAAACTAATGTAATTAAAAAAGCAATGAAGTAAAATTGTGTAACTTAACCTTTTATGGCTTGATTTTTTGTGCTCCTACATTGTAGAAATGGTCCCTTTTAAAAAAAAAAAATAAGACATGGGTACCTTCAGCATACTGTAGGTGCAGAGACACCTGTCAGGATTCCTTTGTTGAATATTCTGATAATAGGATGTCAAATGATTGTTTTATACAAGGTGTACATAAATTGTTTTCCAAATTTTTCAAGGCTACATTTTGGATAGTGACGTTCATTCATAGAGTGATAATTTAGCTTCAAAAATTTTCAAAGGAACATTTTGCAGAGTAGACACCTTGAATGTGACCAAGATTCTGTGTTCTTAGTGGCACATGGTTCACATCTTGCTCTTTGGGACTTGAACTCGAGACCCGATTTTGCAGTCTGATGTCTTTTGACGTTGCTTTGCAGTCCCGCCAAGACAGAAGCCCAGATTCAGTGTTTACAGACCTTTCCTACTGGCAGAACCTTTAAGTCCCTGCAGGCCAATAAAGGGTCAGGTTCACATCCAACAGGACGATTTACAAGAATAATATAAATTATTATAGGCTTGAGGTAATATTACCTCAGGTTTTATGAGCATTTGCATAGTATTGTCACATCAATGACTTCAATGTTTGTTTTATATGTAACTAAACTGTTATTTATAGTTCATATATATGTACTGTATACTTTGTTAATTGTCAAGGTAACACAGTTAGGTTAAGCAGTGTAGGGTAAGTAATATATTATAATATATTGAGGTTGCAATGAGCATCATCTGACAGTTTTCACAGTTTAAACAGAAATGTACATTTTTTATTATTCGATATTAAATGTTATTTATATTTAATAATAATTCCTTACATTTACACAGTATAGATTACACACTCCAATCAAAGCACTTTATAGGTAATGGGGACTCCCCTCCACCACCACTAGTTTATAGCCCCTCACCTTGATACTTTGTTGTAATGGGAGTAGAAAGGTTTTTTTAAAATTAAATTAGATGAACAATACAATTAGTATTTTTAAGTCAGTCGCTGTAATTTAGAACCAAGTTCTTTATTTTTTCAGTTTCGGCAAATTTAACTATCCTTAGCATTTTATGTTAGCTTGGTGTCTTAAATAGTTGGGTAATAACATAATGCAATGAAGTTGTTCAGATGGACACTTGAGTGGTTATTTGTGGCTACGTGCTGTGAATTGTGTTGCTTCATACATGCAGAGTGGCATTTCTTTGGCACATGTTTTGAAATTAAGAACGTGGGGCTTTATGTTGACCTAAGTAGTGACCTCATTTGAATTCCAAGTTAAATGCAGAATTTCATTTTTATATAAGACTCGTGGTTTTGATTTAAGTCTTAATGTGGCTGGTTTGCATCTCTTGGGCTTTTTACACTAAACACAGAAGATTACATGACTCTAATTGGTATATTTTGGAGTAAAAGACCGTTTCAGTTTTTGAGATTTTGCTGTAACCTTGCTTTATCCCTTACCTCCTGTGTTCCAGTTGAAATCTCTTCTAAGAACACTACAGCTCACTTGACTACTGCACTCCCATTGAGGAACACCTGGAAACAGAATTCCCGTTAGTCTCTGGAATTGCTGACCTATTCCTTGTGTGTCTTTCCAGGCAAACGGCATAAAGATAGGACCCCAGCATGCTGCAACCAATGCGACACTTGCAGGCAACCAGGGAGGACAGCAGGCAGGAGGAGGATGCTGCTGAGCCTTCTAACTTTCTACTTGACTGGTTGGGCCTACTAACCTTTTCTTAACCTCCCCACTCCAGCCCAACCCCTCAATCCACTCATTACTAGATGGCTGTTCATCAGGAGAGACGCCCAAGTCCTTCACAATCCCTGTAAAACTTTGAAGTCTGTCTGGGCTCCAGCAGAGATGGTTAACTTTTGCTTAAAAGACCGGGTTTTGAGGATTGTATCCATATCTATTTACATTTGATTTCTTGGTCGGTTGTCGTGATTTATGTTTTTTTTATTTTATTTTTTGTTACGTTGTCTGTGCCCTTTTTGACTTCAAGCTGAATTGTATTAAAACACTACAAGGTCATCTTAGTATTTTAATCAGTTTATGTGGTTAAAGTCCCTGGCTACTGTGGTTACCTGAAGTTCTAAAGAAAAATGTAGGACTGTATTAGAGCGGACAGCCATTTAGTGAAGAAGACAAGAAAGCAGGACTGTTTTAATTCTGTATTTATCATTCACTTCTGTGTATATAGTTATAATTACTTGCTCTGGTGTATAACGACCAAGCTAGAGTTCTTTACTGAATTTGCTGAAATTCTATACTGTACAATTAGAGCTTGAAACTGCAACAGTATTGCTATAGTTCAAAACCTGCTTTGACACAAATTTTTAATCCTGTTTGACTATTTTTTTTGTCTTGCCATCTGCCTCTCCCTTATCTCTCCCATATCTCTCCCATAATCCCCATACTGCTCAGTGTATAGCAACATTGGCTCAATATTCTTCATCTATTTTAATGCCAAATTATTTTGTTTCTCGGTGTTTTTCAACCACATCTCCAGAAATGGATCACCTCCCCTCCAGAAATGGATCAGCTGTTTGCCTTAAAAGAATTCAGTTATTTTCAGTTATACAGCAAAACAAACTATGTAATATTGATATAATGGTATATTGTCAGTTTTCATTTTCAGTTTTATCTGCAAGACGGTTTTGAGTCCAGATCAACATTGATTTAGATGTCTTAAGTGGTTGTGTAGAGGTTTGTTTTATTTGAAAGTTGGTTTTGTTTTAAAGATACATGGTGAACATCTTGTCTATTGTTAAAGGGGTGTGATAAGAGCCAAAACTGGAGTATCTTTGTGACCCTCAACTTTATTTGCTGTGTTGGTTCTTCTTAAAATGACATGTTACAATAAACAAATAAATTCCTGTGGTTCAACAGATTCAAACCTGATATATATTCATTTTGATGGCAAAGTGGGGAAAAAAATTACATGTGGCTGTATCCTTTCTTTTGCTTGTTTTTTCCCCTTTATAAACCGTTTCTACTTCTACCCCTAGGAGTTCTGCTTCTTTGGCTCAAGTGGTAGTGATCACTATCCAGACATATGTATAAATACATTTCCCTGTCATGGCTTAAGATGTAAAAACATGCAAGTAAAGTAATTTAAGTGCAAAATGTCTGTTTTAATCATGCTTTATATTATGGGATTACATTTTAGGCAGTTTGTCAGAAGCTAAATCTTACCATTATATATTGGCACAAATATACCATAGAAGGTTTCTCCAACTTGTTTATACACACATTCAGAGTAATATTTCCCTCGTCAAATGTGGTATTGTATATTCTTAGAGGATTGCACCTGCTATTTGTAAATTGAATTGGGATGCCAGAAAGAAAAAGATTTTACCAACACATTTGAGTATGGTGTCCCTAAACATTGTCATTATCAGATTAAATAAGAAGGTAAGAGGAATGATTGCACCACTGTGATTCTGTACAGGAGTGTGCTTAATTCCATTTTTCTGTTTATGCTCATGGGGTATTTTCCTTGGAAGTCATCCAAGATGCCTTAAGCCAATTACACCTTGTTCACTGTAACATTGAGAGCAATGCTATTTCTTGATATTGAGTACTAATTTAATTGAAAACCTCCTGGGGTGAGTCTTGTTGATTAAGATTCCAGTTCTTGTTAATTTATATTACTCTCTGTAATTGCGTTAGAAGAAAATGTTATGAATGTTGAGTGGGGGAAAAAAATCCAATGGTATTGTTGAGAAATAATTATGCCACCTGTTCACAAAGCAGGGGATTAGAAAAATGGACAGTAGCAGAAGAAGATAACATTGCTTTGATAATATTATATGGATACATTTTCATATTGTTAGTCCCTAAATGGTTCTGCTACTTTTAATATTTAATTATATTGTACAGTACATTGTGCTGCTTAAGCATCTTGAATACTTGCTTACAGAATAAATATTGTATGCCAATCTTTTGGATGCAATTTAGATGAATCCATCCTTCAGAAAGACCTGATCCCAGAAAGCACCAGGCCAGAGCTACCCCCTAGTCAAGGGGCCAGGCCATCACGTGGCACGCATGAGAGTACACACGAGGGCAGCTTGAGAGGACGCTAATGAACCTAGCCAACATGTTTCTGGGAGATGGGAAAAAACCTGGCCCTCCCAAGCAGAGAGAATATTGCAAGTTTCAAACTGAAGATGCCTCAACGTCTAAGGCCCAAGACCTGTGACCAAGCAGTATATACGTAGTAGTACCACTGTGGCACCTGACTTCCCTGGCCTAATACATTTCTATGTATTTAAAATAATTATTTTAATTAACATTAACGTTTGAATGTGTCATGCTATATTCCTAATACTGCATTGGCTGCAAAAGAACAAATAAAGAGTAAATTCACACCGAAATGTAGAAGGAAGGACCAATGGTTCTTCTGTAGAGCCCTTCTGCAGTTGATTTTCTCAATATAATTAAGAAATAAAGGGGAATATTGATCTTTGAAATGCCAGTGTTGTCTTCTGAATGCTCAAAATGCTAGTAAGATCTGATCCTTTTAAACCCTTTCTTGGAAAATCACTTTGTGAGCTATTTGCAGGTGAGGAACTAGAAGAATGCTCTGTGATTGCACATTTTCCTGCTGTAGGCAAAATCCTTCTCATCCATTCTGTCCAGAAGAATTAGTGACCGGGATCTACAGTTACTTTCATTAAAATTAAATAATTCTGAACATATTGGTTATCAAGTTGCTGTCCAACCAAAGTAAAAAGGGTAGCAAGGTTAATAGATGGTATTTAGGGTCCAGTGAAATTCAAAAGAGTTGTTTTTTCAGTCTGAAATGTCAAGATACTAATAAAACCATTCCAATTAAAGCTGATCTATGTGGTAACAAAGTTATAACCAACATACCCGCTACTTGATATTTATTAAAAAATCCCCTAGTAATTAAAGTTTACAGATAATGCTCGCCCACAGTAAATGTATCTGTAAAATGGCAAAAACACTGCTCATTAATGAATAAATTACACATCCGTGACAAACCAAGAGGCTCAGAAATTCGTGACTGTGCTCATTCTACATAAAACCCAAAGCCATATGGATTTTTCAGAAAGTAAGTGTAGGAACTGAGCACTAATACAAACACCCTGGGGGAAAAAGGGTTTACTGAATGCATAGGCTTCCACATGGGTGTGGCTCCTGCATTAATTAAGCAAATAACATACCAGAATGCTTAGCTTCATGTATAACAATGCTGTACAACAACATATTGCAACTAGTATGGCTGCAAGAGACTCCAGTGACTTTGAAAGAGGTAAGAGGTGTTGAGGTGAGTTGCGAAGGAGCTTCAGTTACCAAGATAGGTCAACTTGCTGGTTTCCTGAGCAATGGTGTCTAAGGTGATGTCAGCCTGGAACTCCAAAGGAAAGATGTCGTTATTGATGGGCAACAGTGGGCAAAAGCGCATACTTCAAGATCACGATATATATATACATTAAAAGCGCAAGGCAAAGCAGAAGAGGAACTAGCAATCCATGGACTGCAAATTTCAGCCTGTGATCTGAGCAGCCAGATTAATCAAAACCAATCTGTCAGGACCCCCACAGAGCAGGATGCCATAGGCATGTTACAGTGCGCAAACCACTCATCACACCTGGCAGTGCACGTTTTGTGAATCCAGTGGTGGAAAGTGCACAGGCAGTGGATTCTTAGTAGCGGAGAAACGTGATATAGTCTGATGAATCATCCTTCAGTTTGTTCTCAACAAACGCACAAGAGCACATGTCATGTCACCCTAAAGGACTCAACAGTGGTTCCACTGGTGAAGGTTTCTGGTGTTTGAGTGGGGTGCACTCATTCTGCTAGAAGGTCAATGCTGATCACTCCTTCGTGATACAGAGTGTTTACATTCACCCCATGTTGCAGCTCTTCTTTACTGCCAAGAGAGGCGTTAAAGCACACTTGGTCGCTAAAGAGTTTGATGAGCATGACAGTGATGGTATCCTTATATCATGGCCTTCTCATTCACCAGATCTGTACTCAGTCTAAAATTTATGGGATGGTGCCCAAGGCAGTGTTTTCCACCTCCATCAACCAGGTGTGATTTGATTCACTTTCATGTGAAATAATGGCGTTGCATTTTGCTGCAGAATACTAGACGGTGGTAGAGTCTATGCCAAGGTGCATACAGGACGTACTGGTTTCACATGATGGTCCAGTGCCCTATTAATTAACTTTATGTTGCTATTTATTTTTGTCCTCAACCTGTAGTAAATGGGGAGATTCCTGTAGCAATTCAAATAGTGTTTATGATTTTGGAGGTCAGTTTTAATCAAAGTAGTAATTTATTTGTTTTGACAATACAGGTTATGAATGCAAAATTATGAATACGTACAGTTGATTTTAATGTTTTTTTATATTATAAAGTTCAGGAACAATTAAACATAAGACGGAGAATATTGCATTGCAATACAATATTTCATTTAAGGGTTCTATGTTTTAATCTAATGATTTTTATTAGTCCAGAGGACCTATGAAAAAGAAATATTTTAATCCACTGCAGCAGTTGTACACAAAGTGCACAACCCATTTGGGAAATTACCATGTGCACCTTTCAGGGGCTGATGTTCTAAACTCAAAACATTACATTCCACTCTAAACATGAATTTTTCATGTGAAATAAGTCTATAAATTATTTGTGCCAAAACACTATGCAGCAGGTTATAAGTGTTTTTGGCAACTGCTAGCACTGCGCCGAGATCAAACTGGCCAGATAGTGGGTGTGTTGTTTAGTACTAGCCATGTCAGGCTGCACAGGATTGACTAATAAAGTGAAATGTGCTTCCAAACAGGGGAGCATCATACATTGTTAAAGCTGTTAAACACTATCTGATGCAGCTGGACTCTGGCTACAGGCCTTAAGGAACTGTATCAGCCTACATCTAGATATTTTGTGCTGGTTAGACTGAGCTGCGGTGTCAGTCTGCTGTTTTGGGCATTCTTCTGTGCCAGGAATGCATAAGTAGGCCATTATCATTATCATTCTAGAAAACATGGATATAGACCAGAAAGAGGTGGCACAACTGCAGATCTTTGAATGTCATTCACATGGATCTGGGCACCTCCACTGTGTGCTTGTCTTATTTTTGTCATCGTGAATGACAATGGCACCTACTGTCTCTAAGAGATGATTCTTCACAACGAGATAGAAGACCCACCCCAGCCCAATGATTTATTTATTGTATACAACAAAGGCAACACTGATGTATTCCCCAAGCCACCTCCACTTTCTCAACAGAGTGTCAGCTGTGCTACACGTGCTTCATCAGGGAAACCAATGCTTTACAACTGTTATGTCATCAAGGTTGGAATGATGTCCACTACAGTCAAGTTGAGCATGTTGGGTTAAACATGCACCAGCCAATAGACCTGATGATGTCGAGAGTGTACCACACGAACAGAAACCATTCTCCGGTGTGTGTTTGAATATCTGCTTCATTATGAAATGCACTGTTTTACCAGGCCACAATTCCCATAGCTATACAGCATTCTTAATTACTTTCCATGTTTGTAATAAATCAGCGAAGGTAAATAGCTGAGGTTCATAATGATTGTTCCTGTAATTTTTTTTTTCAGTTCAGTGACAGAGGATTATAACTAGGGCTGATCTGGAATATGGTTAATTTCTTTTGGAACTCAATATTTTCCTCCATATGTCACTGCATCTCAAACAGACAATGAAATTGGCATTAGGTTTTATAAAGTTGGTAATATAAAGAGGGGCAGAAATATTGAGGCAAACAGGTTGAGGGACAGTATTGTTGGTGCAGAACTATTCACGGTGCAAAGACAATATATTGCTTTTGTATATGTGTTTATGTATTGACTGGCCCTGTTATTAGGAACCACTTCTTCACCGCACAC